TAATCACATATCAAGTGATATGTAGGCTAACTCTAAATATAAAAATAAGAAGATGTGGTATGATTGCCAATGAGACAACTCTTCACCAGAGACCAAATGACACAAAAATTAACAACTATAGGTCACAGTACGGCCTTCAACAATGAGTAAAACCCATACCTCATAGTCTATTCATTTCAATACATGAGTTTACAAAGGTGCAGTATTGATATTTATGGTAAACATGGACATTTTAGTGCTAATATGAAATTGGGCATAAGTATCCCCCATTTCATAAAATTTTTGCAAATCACCATATTGATGTGAATAGGCAATTTTTGGGTTCGATGCTCAGGAGGTTTTGTGCATTGAAATTGCAAAAATATCAACTTCTGAAAAACTCCATGGTTACCATGGATCTGACTGAAGATTATATCAGGCCGGCAAAACTTAAAGATATTAAAATATGAAGATGTGGTATGATTGCCAATGAGACAACTCTCCACGAGAGACCAAATGACACAGAAATTATCAACTATAGGTCAGCCTACGGCCTTCAACAATGAAAAAAGCCCACCGTATAGTCAGCTATAAAAAGCCCCGAAATGACAAATGTAAAACTATTCGAACGAGAAAACTACAAAATTATGAACAAAAACTTAGAGATGTCTTCCAATAAGTCAAATAATTTTAAAGAACGGCCATAAGTAGTAATATAATCTTACAGGTTTTCCTAAGTTGCAATTCTTGCTAAAAATAAACTTAACAATTTTTTGTAATGAAACACATTGGAGGAAAAAGTATACTCCTGATCACCAAAGGTTAAAGTACACCAATAGTATACATTTAAAAATGGGCAGTTTTGTAAGAACCTGAAAAATGTTTTAAACAATATTCCTTAACAATTTTTCTAAAATATATACTTACCCAAACGTTTAAACCGAGCTGTCAGTGAAGTCATTTTGTAGGAGAAAAATAATCCAATATACAAATAACAAAAACTACATTTGTTTTGAATAACTGCTAAAATTAGATGTCACTTGCACTTTAATTGTTATGCTCAAACATCAGACTTGAAATTTATCATATTTAAGTCTAAATATATTCCAAACAACTTTCAACAACTGTAAAATATTTCTAAACCAACTGAAAATTTCAAACAATTTCATAAAAAACCAAATATGACACTACAATAGACGTCACAACATCTTCACCATCCCATAATACAAAAACTTTGAAAAGTTTCGACCATAAAAATGAATCAGAGAAGACATTTGTGTCCATATATCCTGTATATATATGTTTAATACCTTAACCGATCACGACCTTTAACCCTATGGGTCTTTTTATTGAGAAATTGAATTTAAAGTTTAGAAGATTTAAATGTCCGTATTCATAATGTGTTGTTTGACAGTGCCTCGGGGCAAGTTTTACATTGTGTTTAGCAAATGGGTTTTTATTAGCGTGCGATATATCATTACGATCGGAGTAGTAATTATATGTACGGAAACATGTCTTCATTGTTATGCCGTATTTAAACAATGTTTGGACAACTATTATGTCATAGGTAATTTAACTTGAGTGGGACACTTATGACGGAGACTGTAATCAACGTAAAAGTTCAAAAGGAGGGTGGGCTGTACTTAGAACAATCATTTAAATTATGTAACAAACAAACAAACAATATGATATACATGTACTATAATTAGATCTAACAAAACAAAATTGAAGTTGCCATTCTTTATAACAAAGAGAGAAACAAATATTAAGGATGTACACCTCTGAGGAGTCAAAAATTTCTAGAATTACTTTTTTTCTTAACCTGATTTTTGGGTTTATATGACTGTAAAAAAAATAATTGGTGCAGAAAAAATCATGTGGTAGTGCACCCTTTTTTTGATACGGCCATTTGAAAGTACCCAATTTTGAAGATTTTCCCATTGTTCATCAATTTTTACCCATTTTTGGGCTATTATCATGATTATATTATTATATTCACAGTTAAACTTTTTTTCATACTTTCACTAAAGATGAAGTGGACCAATCTGAATAAATTTAACTTTAAAAAGCTATAGGTAGGTGTTAATATAAGAAAGTTTTATAAAATTTTGTTGCTTTTTCGTGTCAAATTTACCATGCTGTCAATTTTGTAAATTTGGGATTTTTCTCTTTTTTTTAACAAAAAGCATATAATTTCAACTTTTTTGTTATAAATGATTGAAAAAATACATATCTAAGAAATTTGGAAAGAAAAAATTGATATGGGATGTACATGTATCTGGTAAAGTCATTTCTTGTACCCCTCACCTATTTTCTCAACATTTTGGCTAATGAGACTGACTTGATTGGTTATAAAATTTGAAAATTTATTACTCAAAAACTACTTATTGTAAATACACATTTTTTTCACAGAGTTAAGTTTGATTATGACATTTTTTAAATTCACTGATATTTTCCACTTGTATCACATATTTTGGAAATAGTTCCAGAACAAGATTTCAACGAGACTGAAACGTCAGAAGAATACATACTTAAAAGATAAGATATTAAAATAATTACTCAATTCATAAGTAAATCAATAACTTTTTAAAACATCACTAAATTCTACTGACTATGTTACTGGAGGGGGGTGTTTAACAACCTTAACCACCCATGAGGGTTTTGCCCGGTTGATTATGTTGACCAATCTGATTCCTGTTCAGATAACATGTCTGCCTTATAAACTTAAAAGACCTGTAAATGCATATGTTTTGCCTTCAAATAAACACTGTCAGTAAATGTTTGACTCTTTAAGTTTCTCAAGGTCTTTTTTCTTTGACAGGCAGAGGTCTATTTGAAAACATCCTAATTTATCAAATGGAACTCTGCTTGTCAAGGAAAGAGACCTGGATCAATGGATATCAATAATTCTCAAGGACCAGTTAATAAATCATCATTTGCCACAGAAAGATGCCTTGGGGATCAATGATACATGTGGATTAACCACAGAGGTCCTTTGGCCAGTAAATGTTAAGGACCATTTGATTACATTAATTTACCCTTAATATTTCATGGGTTGATAAAACAAAGAACTGCTTGATAAAACAGAGGTCCATGGGTTGGTAAAACAAAGAGCTGTTTGATAAAACAGAGGTCCATGGGTTGGTAAAACAAAGAACTGTTTGATAAAACAGAGGTCCATGGGTTGGTAAAACAAAGAACTGTTTGATAAAACAGAGGTCCATGGGTTGGTAAAATAAAGAACTGTTTGATAAAACAGAGGTCCATGGGTTGGTAAAACAAAGAACTGTTTGATAAAACAGAGGTCCATGGGTTGGTAAAACAAAGAACTGTTTGATTAAACATTATTTTCTTCTGAACAGAGGTCCATGGGTTGATAAAACAAAGGACCGTTTGATTAAACTTTATTTTCCTCTGAACAGAGGTCCATCAGTTTATAAAACATAGGACCTTTTGATTAAACATTATTTGCTTCTGAATAGAGGTCTGTGGGTTGATAAAACATAAGACCGTTTGATTAAACATTATTTTCTTCTGAACAGAGGTCCATCAGTTTATAAAACATAGGACCGTTTGATTAAACATTATTTGCTTCTGAATAGAGGTCCATGGGTTGATAAAACATAGGACTGTTTGATTAAACAACATTCTGAAACTGCTAGAGACTAAGTAGGTCAATAAAACTTAAGGACTAGTTCATAAGAACATCATGGTCTCTTAAGGCCAGTACACCTGACAAGGCAATTGAAATACAGTCTAATTAAGAAAACATTATTTTGGCATTAAAGGATCGTAAACCACAAGTTTTTTGTCAGTTAATAGCAAGACAATGAGAGGTGACTGAAAGTATACTGACATTAATTTACAATTTTAGGAGGTTCAGAGAACTACAATACAATAACCTCTCTTTGATGTCCATTAATCAAAACCACATGAAAAGGTGCACACAGGTGTATTAATTACATCACACAGGTGTGTTAATCATATGACATAATTGATGTTTAATTTTGCTGACTTAATATGCAAGATGTTGTTATAGAAATGAAACTGATTATCACAAGTTATATGTCAAGTAACGATAGATTGAGAAAGGGGAGACCACCCATATCATATGACAAACCCTTCTTAAATTTTGTGCATGATGATAAATCAATTAACTTGTTAAGTTTTAAAAAGTTCTTTTTAAAAATCTGTATTACTAAACACTCCAAGGCATATTCATTTATCTAAAGCCTCATTTAATTTAAGAAGAATCCTAAACGTGCTGTAAGACTATAACAGGAAAACTTGGCGGCATTAACATAAACAGATGTAATGAAAACGCATGTTAAACACATGGAAAACAGATGTTTTACATTCGTTTTCAAAACATACAGTTTACGTAAGGGATGTTTTACATGTTTCGTTCTCAACAGGCCTTTTACCCCTTTTATGGTACAGCTGTTTTAAACGCATGTTGGTTAAAAACTTGCATATTCCATTCAGGTGGTTTTTAAAACGTAGGTAAAACATATGTTGCACTCTTGCTGTGTATAATTTTTCTAGCAATACTAAAGCTTTCGAGCAAGTAGGTATAATAGTTGTGGCAAAAAATTAATAATTACTCAGTACACTGGCAATAAGTCATAGTTTTGGTTTGGTGGGTATAGCCTTTAAATTGTTGCTAAAATACTTGTAGGAGATATGGAGTTAGATCAAAGAGAAGCAACTTTGCCTGTCTTAAAGGAATTTGATATTTTTTTCAAAATTCAAGGTCATAGTCATTCCAGTTTTCACATTAAAATTCTGTTGAATGTCACTTTCCGACTTTTTCCCATTCAAATTCTGCTGAGTGACTTTCTGACATTTTTCACGTTCAAACTCTGCCGAGTGACTTTCTGACTCTTTTCACATTCATCAAATGACTTTCTGACCCATTTGACTTTTTGCATCAAACAATTTGAATACTCCCAGCCAATATAAGGATATGGTTTGTTAAAACAGGACTTTATAACAACCAGATCTAAGTTAAAACAACTCACCTTCACGTTTATTGAGTGTAGATTTTCTTTGTGAACTTTTATCTTTCCTTTTCCGTCTTTCTGATTCTGACCTTGGTTCTTTCCCATCTTCTGACGAGGTCACTTCATCGAAACTGTCTGTAGCAACCTTTAAACTGTCTCTTTCATTTTCAACACTAACAGCCGTCTGAACAGACAACTTTTCTGCTTCTTTAGGAAATATTTCAAGATCTACAGATGATGTAAATGAAGAAGTGGAAGATTTAGATAAATTTGGTTTTGAAGTAGTCTTCACTTCCTGTTTGTCTGGAGAATGACCTGAAACCATGGTAACAGTAGACTGGTCTGGTCCAGCTGTTAATACTTGGAAATCTTCTGTCTTGGTTTCTGTTGCTTTGACAAATGTTGTCTGATCAACTGAACTTCCTAATGAGTCCGCTGTTGTCATAGCAACAGATTTTTCAGGTGAAGAACCTTCTCTTTCCCTACAGAATCAAAACAAATTATTCAAGGTATGACTTCACAGTTCTTGTTGGAAAAAAAAGATAGAAAATCTACTTTTAGTGTTAGAAACTGTATATATTGTGTAAGTAATATAAATCTTGTGATAATAACTTTGTAATCATGACATCACAGCCATACAAAGATAAATAGAACAACAAACAGATGATGATTTACATCAGAAGATGATAAGGAATAAAAGAAAGAATTCATTATGTATACATGTTACTCAATCTGAGAGTCAACAAAATGATAATTGATCATAATTATCTACAGAACACATGTGCAGTCAATATAACTTTTATTTTTGTAAGATTTAAGACTTCATTAAAATATCCCTCACATCACTTGTTTACAATTAGCCAGCTTTTCTATATTTGAGTTATAAAATGATAAAAATTATCATCTTTCTAATGATCATCATCACTTTAAAACAAAGGGATGTTACAAGGATGTAACAATTCAAGTATTTATATTTTAATCAAATAATAATAATATTTTTTTTTTTTTAACATCTTTTAATTTCAAAAACCAAATAATGAGTCTTCTTGGAACTTTTTTTCAATACTGAGGGTCAAAAAAATGTTCTGTATTTACCTTTCATAATTTTACCTTCAAAATTTACTTAAAGAATAATGACTAGAGTACTTTTAATGTTCTATCATTCAATTAATTCATTAGTACCAATTTTGCAATCTTTAATCTGAAGAAGACAAAATGCACAATATGGCTGTCACTTAACAAAAAAAAAAAATCAAAGTCTGCACCATGGTTTATAATAATAATAATAATAAATTCTTTATTTAAAGAGGGTAAAACAGTTAGTTACAATTATTAATCTTCTCTGAGGCCCTCATATACAATACAAGTAAAAAATATAATAATGAGAGAAAAAAAAAAAAAAAAAAAAAAAAAATACTGTGGATTAATTTTTGGAAGATTGAGGAAAAATAATTTTTCAACGATACTTGAATTCCTGGTTTTTAAAAATTCTGCATGCAAATTACAGACGATAGCAAGTTGTATTTCAGAGAATACATGAATAGATGGTTCACCAACACTTATAAAATCAACCAAAATTAGTAACCATAGATAAATATTGAATCCACACTGAGTGTAGACACCATTTTTAAAGACTCTAGACCTAAATTAGGTTTCTATTTGGTTGCTGACTTGTTACTCACATGACATTTTTGCTATTAATCCTATTTATCAGAGAATTGCAACTTATACTGAGATTAATATTAACCAAAGTAAATTAATTATCATTACTATTTCTAGTGATATTCCTTTTTTTTTATTGTTTTGGGGGATTTTTCTTTGCAAGACAAACATAGTTATCTCCCCTATACCAGTACAGAAGACAGTCAATGCTATACAACCTGTGAGGTCAGAACAATTAGGAAAACAGCCAAGATACTATGAACCTTCTAGTAGTTCTACACTTTGTTTTATTTTTCTGAGATAAACATAAAAAAATCCTGCACTTTAACATTTGTACTTCATAATGGAAAAAACACATAAAATTAACAATTTACTGCAACATAGGTGCTGTGTGCTGGCAAATTTCACTAATGAAATGACATTCACCAATCTTCATGATGATTAACCCATTAAATTGTTACCAATATACATCAATACAGTGATAATTTGAGTAAGATTAACATTCTTTTCAATTTCAGTAAATCCAATTCTAATTTCAATCCAAGTTCTGTATTTCATATTTGTGATTCATTTATTGTTTTGTACAGAAATTAGGCTGTTAGTTTTCTCGTTTGAATTGTTTTAAATTTATTAATTTGGGGCCTTTCATAGCTTGCTATATAAGTAAGTAAGTAAGTAAATTTTATTTAGAGTCGGGCATGATATGTACAATTCAACAAGGTAAACATGAGCTCTGTAGAGCTCTTAACCGAATTGATATTTAAAAACAAATAACAAATTATAAGCACATTTGACAAACTACACATACAAATAAAAACACATATATGCAGTAGGGATTTTGCTCAATATTGAAGGCTGTACAGTGACCTATAGTTGCTTACTTCTTCTTCACTTGGTTTGTCTCATTATTGAAGGCTGTACAGTGACCTATAGTTGCTTACTTCTTCTTCACTTGGTTTGTCTCATTATTGAAGGCTGTACAGTGACCTATAGTTGCTTACTTCTACTTCATTTGGTTTGTCTCATTATTGAAGGCTGTACAGTGACCTATAGTTGCTTACTTCTTCACTTGGTTTGTCTCATTATTGAAGGCTGTACAGTGACCTATAGTTGCTTACTTCTTCACTTGGTTTGTCTCATTATTGAAGGCTGTACAGTGACCTATAGTTGCTTACTTCTTCACTTGGTTTGTCTCATTATTGAAGGCTGTACAGTGACCTATAGTTGCTTACTTCTTCACTTGGTTTGTCTCATTATTGAAGGCTGTACAGTGACCTATAGTTGCTTACTTCTTCTTCACTTGGTTTGTCTCATTATTGAAGGCTGTACAGTGACCTATAGTTGCTTACTTCTACTTCATTTGGTTTGTCTCATTATTGAAGGCTGTACAGTGACCTATAGTTGATTACTTCTACTTCATTTGGTTTGTCTCATTGGCAATCATTCCACATCTTACAGTATGTTTGTACTGATCCTCAACATTGTTGTAAAAAAAAAAGCATGTTAAGAAAATTCATTTCTTCTGTTTGTTTTAACTAATTCAACTATAAAACCATACAATAAGGAAGTTCAATTAATGGTGGAAAGAGAGGGGTGGGTTGGAATGAAAATATGAAAGTTAAGATGTGAAGATTTGTTTGTTTGTTTGTTTGTTTTCTAATTTGTTGTGACTCTACGATAAACATTAAATCTATATACCTGTGGTGTTTATCAGCATCAGACTTGTGACTCTACGATAAACATTAAATCTATATACCTGTGGTGTTTATCAGCATCAGACTTGTGACTCTATGATAAACATTAAATCTATATACCTGTGGTGTTTATCAGCATCAGACTTGTGACTCTACGATAAACATTAAATCTATATACCTGTGGTGTTTATCTGCATCAGACTTGCTCCTCTGAAGAACTTTTTTACGTAGCGATCTCTTTGATTTATGATGATCAGCCTGTAGAGCTTGAGCAACAGGACTTGCCTGGTGTTGTTGTAACTGTTCCTTACTACAGATTTCAACATCGGACAAATATTCCACGTTTTCCATCAAAATATCATCTAAATCTGGTGCATCGGCTAAAACACCAACAGTTTTAAACCTCGGTGAATATCCTGGACTTCGCGGACTTTGTAGAGGACTATCATTGTCAGTTAACGATTTGCTTCTTGAAACTTGTTTTGCAGGTTTTAGACTAGATTTTGAATCAGCCTCAGCTGTATTTTTAACTGAAGAAACATTAGAACTTGTTGCAGTAGTGATTACAGAGGTACTTGGCGACGAGACAGTTTGTTTAACACTAGAGGTCGTAGGAAAAGCTATACTTTTAATACTAGCAGACTGCACAGTTACACTTTGTGATTTTGAAGCTATGAATGCATCAACAAGCGATGAAGATGAACTTTCATTAACCTTGGAACTATTGACCTTTGCATTTTCAACTGAATGTTCTGATATAGGTACTGAATCTACAAGAGTTTTTGCAGAAGATGAAACTATTGCTGATTCCATTGATGTGACCATGCTATCACTAGCTAAAGTTTTCATTGTTGAACATGGAACACTTACTGATGTTTGAGGAACTGAAACTTTGTCTGAAACTTTTATAGAAGAAACTGACGAGATAACAGTTGATGACAATGGACTTTCAGGTATTATACTTCTACTTGAAACTTTTGATGTTGCCATAGAAACTGATGACTTTAATGAATCTGTTGTCGTGGAAACAGATATTGCTGCAGTACTTGGCAATGTGAAAGATGATTGTGTTTTAGCCACAAAGGTTGATGTTGGAGTTTTTGTACTGTCCAGTTTAGAACTTACTACTCCTGGTTTAGAGTCATCTTTGACTTCCATGTTGATAGCACTAGTATGTTTACTTTCTATCTTTCCTCCAATTGAGCCAGAAGTGGTCAGTTTCGTTTTGCTAGTGACCGTGTCAATGCTTTTCACTTCTGTTTTCTGAGCACTTGTTGCACTGGTGGTTTTTGGAAGACTTGCAGTACTGCTCTTTGGAAGACTTGTCACTGGAGTTATAGTTTTAGGAACATTAGATGTGAGAGTAGTTTTCGGAAGATCTGTTGAAGAAATAATATTTTTTTGTGAACTGTCAGTTGAAGAAATTGTCTTTAGAGCACTTGTGGTTTTTGGAAGACTTGTCTCCCCTTTGTGAGCACTGGTATTAACAGTTTTTGCAACACTTGTCACAGAAGATTTTGAAGCACTGGTTGTAACAGTTCTACTATCCGAGACAGATATTTTTGGAGCCTTATGCGTTGTGGTAGTGTTTGGCACACTTGACAGTACAGCTGGTTTTGATACGTTGTCAGATTTGTTCATACTATTTTCGGCAGTTTTAGATACATATGTAGATGTTACAGATTTTGAAACACTTGCTGCTGTTGAAGGATTAAGTACATTTGTTGATCCAACAGATTTTGGGGCACCTGTTACTTTTGACACTATTGGTGTAGTAGCTGTACTACCTACATTAGAGACACTTGTTGGTTTTGATGTTGTGCTTGTTTTCATTGTACTCTTTTGGGAGCTAGTCATGATAGTTGTTTTTGGAGCACTGGTTGTGCTAATTGTTTTTGGAGCACTGGTTGTGCTAATTGTTTTTGGAGCACTGCTTGTGCTAATTATTTTTGAAGCACTTGTTGTGCTAATTGTTTTTGGAGAAATGGTTGTGCTAATTGTTTTTGGAGAACTGGTTGTGCTACTCATTTTTGGGGCACTCATTGTACTAATTGTTTTAGTAGCATTGGTTGTGGTTCTTGTTTTAGGAGCACTGTTTGTGCTACTTGTTTTTGGAGCACTAATTGTACTTATAGTTTTTGAAGCACTTGTCACTTGAGCACTTGTTGTAGTTGTTGGTACAATCGCTACAGGAGAAGACCGTTGATAACGTTTACGAACATGTTTCGGTGATGGAATTTTAGTTTCACTTTGTTTTGTATTTTTTACAGCAGATGTACTCAGCGATTTCTGTTTCTTGTCGGACTTCAAATTATCAACGTCCATTTTCCCTTTTTTCTCACCCTCCTTTTGATTTAACTTAAACGACACAAAATCTCCCTTTCTCTCTAAAACACTTGACTCCTCCAGTAATAAATTCTTAACATCGTCTTCAGAATACACCTGTCGATTACGTCGGCCTTGATGTTTTTCTTCAGATTTAGTATCAGATTTTTCCTTTGACTCATTAAATATTTTCTGAACGTCTTTCTTTGATATTGTATCATGAGATGACAGTTCGATGCTGGATTTAGGACGAGTAGTTTCGCCTAATGCCTTTGGTATGGAGGGCAACTGTCGCCTCTTTTTCAGTGGTTTATCTAATGCACTATCATCCTCTGTTTTTATAGATTTTTGATCATTTTCTGTTGACTGATCAGTTTCTTCTCCAAACAAAAATTTTTTTCTCATTTTTTCCATTGAAAACATATATTTTCCCTTTTTATTTTCCTGATCCTCACTTTGTGTTTGAACTTCAGAGGTCACCTCTTTTTTCTTGACCTCTGACGTTTCATCTTTCCTTTTGCGACCTAGATCATCAGTACTCTTTTTCATATCCCTTTTCATCATTGATGAAAGTGCTTCTCTAGTCCTTGCATTGATCTGTTCTATTGTTTCATCTTCGTCACTATCACCGACAGAAAGTTTGTGATCTCTTTTAGACAACTTTTCGTAATATTTTTCACGAGGTGATTTCACTTCCTCTTTTGGTGTGCTACTTTGTGACCTTTCAGTTTCAGTTACTGTTTTTGTTCTTGGACTGTCGGTTTTTTCATGTAAACTTTTAGATCTTATGACAGGGGTAATAGACTTTTGAGGAGAATCTAACTTAACACTGTGAGAACGTGTTACTAATCCTTTCTCATCATCGTACGAACGAGCCGACAAAAACAAAGACGGAACAACATCAGACTTCCCCTTATCTTTATCTACTATCCTATTTGCAATATAAGCCAGCTGTTTTCTTCTTTCTTCCTTATACTTAGCAATCCTTTCAACTCGCGACAATTTCGAAAGTTCGGCAAAAGAGATTGGAGTTGAAGCTTTCTCACTCTCGGCTACACTTGATGCTGTGGAGATTTCATCAGACTCAGAATCATCGTCACGAGATAAAATAGATGCAATGTCTGTTGTTTGAGCCTTCTTGTATATCCCTTGTAACCTTTTCCTTTGTTGAGATATTGTTGAACCTACAGATTTCTCTTCAGTTTTCATTTGTTCAGATATTGTTGTACCTACAGATTTCTCTTCTTCTGTTTTGTCTTTTGATTTTAATTGAGTGGAGTCAAATGACCTATTTAATGAGGTTGATGATTTGGTGTTCCCAGATGTAATCTTATGACTTTCAGGAGTATCAGTAGCCATTTGACCAAATACTGCTGATTTAGGTCTATCCTCTATTGCTTTGGAAAATTTCTTGACCAAATCACTGTCCGTAACTGATTTTGGCCGCCCTCTTACAGTATCACTGTCAGTAACTGATTTTGGACGACTTTCTACAGTTTCAGATTTTGGCCGCCCTCCTACAGTTTCTGATTTTGGTCGACCTTCTACAGTTTCCGATTTCGTTCGCCCTACTACTGTTTTTGATTTAAATGAATGATCAACCTTCTCTGTATGTACTGAAATTTTTTCTTTAGTAGACAAATGTAAAAATTTTGACTCATGTTTATCTGTTGTTTCTTTTTTACCATCATCCAAAGGTTTTGAAAAGGTTCTAGTTTTTGATACAATTTTTTCTGTACTATCTTTCTTGATATTTGATTGACCATCCTGTTTTCCAAACAATAAAGATTGAATTCTATCTTCCCTTGTCCCACTTTCATTTACATCACGTCGTGATCGTAACTTTTCATGAAATGCCTGAGGTGTTTCTATCTCTTTTTTTTTCAGACTACTTTTTACTTTCGGAATATCTTTGACTGAATCAATAAAACCAGAGTCATCACTCATTTGAACCGATTCTTTCAATTGTTGTACATTTGATCTTGGTCTTCCAGGTGCTTGTTTGTCAATAGATCCTTTATGAACATCTGAACTTTCTTTGTGAGAAACAAACTCTGTTCCAAAAATGAAAGACGAAGGTCGTGAAGAATCACTAAAATCTGACGAGACTGGACGAGACCCTAAATCAACAGAAGACGTTTCACTCCCATCATCCTTACTCGAGTCTTTTGATAAGTCCCTCCTTCTACACACTTCGTTGTACTTTGATCTTAAAGCTGGGCTGTCTCTTTGACGTAAAATATTTTTAACTGCGTCTGCCTTTGAACGTAAGTCACTGATATGAGTAAATACATCTGCTCCATGATGTTCTGCCTGAGGTTTTGAGTCTTTAGACTGATCAGTAGTACTGTATCCCTGTTCAGTTGTTTCCTGGCTTTGAGTACTGTATTGAGCTCTACTTCTTAAATCATATTCATGCCGTGTAGGACGAGGGACTTTTATTTCAGTATCCAATTTATTTTCCTGTTTAGTTGTTTCTAATTTTTGGCGACTTTCTTTCGAGGCATTTTGTTCCCAATCCTGCTTACGTCTTCTCCATTCTGAAAGCGCACTATTGGGTTGAATTTCAGAAGATAAAATATCACCTTGTTTGTGTTGTTTTTCACTTTTGGTTGTTTCACTCTGAAGTGAATCACTTTTTAAACGCTCCTTAAATTTTGATTGGGTAATTGTATTTCTATCTAAATGAGTTAAATCTTCCAGAGCTTGTCTTTGTCGCCATTTTGGAATGTTTTCTGGATGTTCATCAAAGGTTTTACTAACAGGAGACAGAAGAGACCTTGGGGTAGATTCCTGAGACAAAACAGACGAAGGTCTTTCAAGGTCGTCGTCCTCATGCTTATGTGAAACATCATCAGTATCATGCTTACGAATCCTTTGACGAATTATTGCTAATTTTTCACTGGGTGTCAATTCCGATCTTTGACCTTCTGAAGAATCGCTTCCTAGTCTTTCTTTGTCCTTTTTATGTCTCTCCCGATATCGACTATAATAACTAGAAGACGAAGGCTCCTCTAAATCACTCCACACATGTTCCTCCCGGTGTTCCGAATTTCCATTTTTAATCTGATATGGACGGTGGATTTCCTGATTGTCATCTGAACGGTCACTATATTTCCTGTATTTTTCATTGTACGCATCCCTCCAACTTGGACGTGTACTAGGTTCTGTAACAAAATCCTCTAATTTAGAAGATGTATATAATGGATGATGGTCGTATGGTAATTCTGGTCTATATGCTGTTTCTCTGTACCTGTAAATAGAAATATAATTCAATTCATCATACAGACATACTGTGGTTAAAAGTAAGTATTTAAAGATGACTAGCGCCACCTAGTTTTAACATCCAAGATAATAGGTAGAAGTAAATTTATTTTCTGCTGCCCTGTTAATTAAAAAAGAAAATTGAAATAGTGAGAAATGAGTGTTGGCTTTTGGTGTAGAAATAGCCAGAAATTTGGAGGAAACCCTCAGTGATGGGAAAAATTTGCTGTGCAAAATTAAGCATGGGGTGTTCTTCATTCATACTATATGAAAATTCTGGAACCATAGAGTACCCTTAAAAAATGCAATTTTTCTATCGGAAAAGCTGCAGCACCATATGTGTTTTGCAGTTTTATTCACACCCAAAGGTGTGGAAAGTTCAGAATTTAACAGTTTTTTCAACGGAACCCACAACAGCTACCATTGTTGCCTAGGTAAATAATTACTTCATTTTCACCTAAATATCAAAGTTGACTGTTATTGAAAACAGTCTTGCCAGAAGCCTGTAGTTCAAGGGTTGTCATTGGTTGTAGTCTGTCTTAAAGAAGAGTGTAGTACAGTGATTGTCATTGGTTGCTCTTAAAATTGTTTTTGCTTATTGTTATCAGTTTATATCAGGCTGTTGGTTATTTTGTTGTAATTTTTCAGATCGTGTCATCCCAGACTTTCTATAGCTCTCTAATACAGTAAAGGTTTTGCTCATTGTAGAAGGTCCTACTGTACCCTGTAGCTGGATAGTTGCCTCATTGGCAATCAGATGAGCTGCGTCGAATATGAAATGGGCCTTATGCAAGTGCACATATATACATGTGTATGTATAAGACTATGGCCGATTTTGGAAAATTCAAATATAAAATAAAAGATGAATGTTGGTCTGTTTTGTAGGGTTCTTATAACAACTCAATTTTCAAACATTTACAGACTTTGCATAGATATTTTTTCAATCCGAAATAGGCTACTGATGTATTGATATTTATTTGCATAAGGTCGATTTCTATCAGACGCAGCTGATATCATATCTTCTCATTTTACAAAAAAAAATTATCTGAGTTATCTCCCATTATAAGCAAAACAGTTTCACTACCTTCACTTCATATGATATCTATTGCAACTGGGTTTTGTGTTGTTCTGCATTTTGTGGCTAAATCAAAATAATGATTATATAACATTCTGTTTAGGAGAACTATAACACGACTCAACGCAATAAATATATTCTAGAATAAATATTAGATTTTAAGTGTTTATTTAAAATCTGCACAGCATTATAATTCCAACAATGAAATCTGCCTTTCTTTATTGAAAACTTTTTAGTTAGAAACCTTGAACACCCTTTGTAAACATGCACCAAAAAAAATCATAAAAAAACCTTGAACACCCTATGTAAATATGCACCAAAAAAACTTAAATGTTAAAAGATAACATTCCTTAAGATCAATGTATAAATATTCAAATTTAACATGTGTTGTCTGTTATAAATCTCATTTATTAAAATGTTATCTCTTCAGATTTTTTTATTAAAGAAGTGCTACATAGTCAGATGAGTCACAATGACTTTGTACAAGTAGTGCTAAACAAAAACCTGTAAAGAACACTTTGAGGGGTCAGTACGTAAGTGGCCTGTTGCAAGGCTCAATTTCTGTCCCTATTAGATATACCCTCATTTTCCAGTAGCATGCCAAATTTCTAGACCTTCATCTTGGTCAACCACAGTGTTCTAAGGATTTTTAGATAGCACCAGGGTAATCATTAATCAAGGTGACAAATTAGATATATGTGTGTCGAACATAATTTGCATCGCATCGCAACTCTTTTCCTCAATCTTCCTTAAGATTAGTTCCCATAGGGTTCTTTCTTATTTTATTACCTTTTATTCATTGGAGTTTTTCTTTTCTTTTGTACAGTGTTTTGTTGAGATTATTGCAGTCAAAGAAATTATATTCTCCACTCAGTCATAGGCATGAAGAGAATTGTCAATTATTATTGCTACATGTATTTGTAATACTAGGGTGGTTTTCTTATTTATCTTTATTCTTTTTAACGACCTTGACTGGTTAAAAAACCCTGTCATGGTTGTTCCAATGTCTATATAATACTGGTTTGATTTCATTGGGAGCACATTTACAATGTATTTTTTCTGTATGTATACAGAACTTTAATTTTTATTAAATTACATTCCATTTTAATAGTTAGCAATTATTTGGTCACTTATAAATATTCCTATGAGTAAACATTTTTTTAACATGAGAATTTCAAAATAGCCAAAAATAGGACCTGGCTCGGAAATTATAGGACCGCGGGTCCATTGCGCTTTAAGGGACTGGGGAGAACACTGAACCATATTACAGGACCTACCTATTATAATATTTCATAACTTGTTCTCCTCCTATACATGCATGAAATATTTGCCACTGGATATTAAGGAGACAACAATCAATAAATCAATCTAACAGCAGCAATTTGAATTGTTCTGACTTTTCCTATTTGCCAAAAATGGCAAAGAAAACAAGCATGACAATAACAACAGCTATTTTCTAATAAATGACCCTATAAAGGGTGGGATTGAGTACTCTTGATAGAGATAACTGACCCTATAAAAGTACTCTTGATAGAGATAACTGACCCTATAAAGGCTGGGATTGAGTACTCTTGATAGAGATAACTGACCCTATAAAGGCTGGGATTGAGTACTCTTGATAGAGATAACTGACCCTATAAAGGGTGGGATGGAGTACTTTTGATAGAGATAACTGACCCTATAAAGGGTGGGATTGAGTACTCTTGATAGATATAACTGACCCTATAAAGGCTGGGATTGAGTACTCTTGAAAGAGATAACTGACCCTATAAAGGCTGGGATTGAGTACTCTTGATAGATATAACTGACCCTATAAAGGGTGGGATTGAGTACTCTTGATACAGATAACTGACCCTATAAAGGGTGGGATTAAGTACTCTTGATACAGATAACTGACCCTATAAAGGCTGGGATTGAGTACTCTTGATACAGATAACTGACCCTATAAAGGCTGGGATTGAGTACTCTTGATACAGATAACTGACCCTATAAAGGCTGGGATTGAGTACTCTTGATAGAGATAACTGACCCTATAAAGGGTGGGATTGAGTACTCTTGATACAGATAACTGACCCTATAGAGGCTGGGATTGAGTACTCTTGATACAGATAACTGACCCTATAGATGCTGGGATTGAGTACTCTTGATACAGATAACTGACCCTATAAAGGCTGGGATTGAGTACTCTTGATAGAGATAACTGACCCTATAAAGGGTGGGATTAAGTACTCTTGATAGAGATAACTGACCCTATAAAGGGTGGGATTGAGTACTCTTGATACAGATAACTGACCCTATAAAGGCTGGATTGAGTACTCTTGATACAGATAACTGACCCTATAAAGGCTGGGATTGAGTACTCTTGATAGAGATAACTGACCCTATAAAGGCTGGGATTGAGTACTCTTGATAGAGATAACTGACCCTATAAAGGGTGGGATTGAGTACTCTTGATAGAGATAACTGACCCTATAAAGGGTGGGATTGAGTACTCTTGATAGAGATAACTGACCCTATAAAGGCTGGGATTGAGTACTCTTGATAGAGATAACTGACCCTATAAAGGGTGGGATTGAGTACTCTTGATAGAGATAACTGACCCTATAAAGGGTGGGATTGAGTACTCTTGATAGAGATAACTGACCCTATAAAGGGTGGGATTGAGTACTCTTGATAGAGATAACTGACCCTATAAAGGGTGGGATTGGGTACTCTTGATAGAGATAACTGACCCTATAAAGGGTGGGATTGAGTACTCTTGATACAGATAACTGACCCTATAAAGGCTGGGATTGAATACTCTTGATAAAGATAACTGACCCTATAAAGGGTGGGATTGAGTACTCATGATAGAGATAACTGACCTTATAAAGGGTGGGATTGAGTACTCTTGATACAGATAACTGACCCTATAAAGGGTGGGATTAAGTACTCTTGATAGAGATAACTGACCCTATAAAGGCTGGGATTGAGTACTCTTGATAGAGATAACTGACCCTATAAAGGGTGGGATTGAGTACTCTTGATAGAGATAACTGACCCTATAAAGGCTGGGATTGAGTACTGATTGAGTACTCTTGATAGAGATAACTGACCCTATAAAGGTGGGATTGAGTACTCTTGATAGAGATAACTGACCCTATAAAGGGTGGGATTGAGTACTCTTGATAGAGATAACTGACCCTATAAAGGGTGGGATTGAGTACTCTTCTGACCCTATAAAGGGTGGGATTAAGTACTCTTGATACAGATAACTGACCCTATAAAGGTTGGGATTGAGTACTCTTGATAGAGATAACTGACCCTATAAAGGCTGGGATTGAGTACTCATGATAGAGATAACTGACCCTATAAAGGCTGGGATTGAGTACTCTTGATAGAGATAACTGACCCTATAAAGGCTGGGATTGAGTACTCTTGATACAGATAACTGACCCTATAAAGGCTGGGATTGAGTACTCTTGATAGAGATAACTGACCCTATAAAGGCTGGGATTGAGTACTCTTGATAGAGATCACTGACCCTATAAAGGCTGGGATTAAGTACTCTTGATAGAGATAACTGACCCTATAAAGGGTGGGATTGAGTACTCTTGATACAGACAACTGACCCTATAAAGGCTGGGATTGAGTACTCTTGATAGAGATAACTGACCCTATAAAGGGTGGGAACGAGTACTCTTGATAGAGATCACTGACCCTATAAAGGCTGGGATTAAGTACTCTTGATAGAGATAACTGACCCTATAAAGGGTGGGATTGAGTACTCTTGATACAGATAACTGACCCTATAAAGGCTGGGATTGAGTACTCTTGATAGAGATAACTGACCCTATAAAGGGTGGGAACGAGTACTCTTGATAGAGATAACTGACCCTATAAAGGCTGGGATTAAGTACTCTTGATAGAGATAA